GGGAGGATGAGGGGGAGGGGGAGGGGGAGGGGAGGGGCAGGGGGAGGGGGAGGGGAGGAGGGGGAGGGAGGGGGGGGAGGAGGAGGGGGAGGAGGGGGAGGGAGAGGGGGAGGAGGAGGAGGGGGGGAGGAGGAGAGGGAGGATGAGGAGGAGGGGGAGGGAGGGGGGGAGGAGGAGGGGGAGGAGGGGGAGGGAGAGGGGGGAGGAGGAGGAGGGGGGGAGGAGGAGAGGGAGGATGAGGAGGAGGGGCAGGGGAGGGGGAGGGGGAGGAGGGGGAGGGGGAGGAGAGGGGAGGGGGAGGGGGAGGAGGGGGAGGGAGAGGGGGGAGGAGGAGGGGGAGGAGGGGGAGGGAGAGGGGGAGGAGGAGGAGGGGGAGGAGGAGAGGGAGGATGAGGGGGAGGGCAGGGGAGGGGGAGGTACAGGAGGAGGGGAGGAGGGGGAGGGCAGGGGAGGGGAGGGGGAGGGGGAGGGGGAACGCACCCGCAGCAGCTCCTCGGGCAGGAGGAGGAGGGGGAGGAGGAGAGGGAGGATGAGGGGGCGGGGCAGGGGGAGGGGAGGGCAGGGGGAGGGGGAGGAAGGGGGAGGGCAGGGGGAGGGGAGGGGGAGGGGGAGGGAGAACGCACCCGCAGCAGCTCCTCGGGCAGAGGAGGAGGAGGGGGAGGAGGAGAGGGAGGATGAGGGGGAGGGGCAGGGGGAGGGGGAGGTACAGGAGGAGGGGGAGGAGGGGGAGGGCAGGGGGAGGGGAGGGGGAGGGGAGGGGGAACGCACCCGCAGCAGCCTCCTCGGGCAGGTCGCCGCCCTCGTTGATGCCACGGTTCATGGTGATTGAAGCGCTCGGCCGTGGGCTTGTCGCGACATTGTGGTTGTGCAGGCTGGTGTTGAGCATGATGATGGCAAACGACAGCACGTAGCACGTGTCTGCGGGGGGAGGGGGGAGCGCGTGGCGGGGTCAGCGGCCAGGGCCCAGAGTCCCACAAGGAGAGGCGGGGGGCGGGGGGGCGGACAGCCGACAGCTCCCTGCCAAGGCAGCCTGGCCCGCAGGCCGTCCTCTAGGGCATGTGAGAGGGGCTGGCCGGGGCCCAGGGCAGGGCCATCCCAGCTCACAGAGAGCAGGCCCGGGTCACAGGCCAGGGCTGTGTCACTGGCTTTCACTGGCAAGTGAAAGGGGCGGGGATAAAGGCAGGGCCGCCCACCTGTGGACTGGAAGACGCCGGGGTTGCACAGGCAGTAGCGCGAGGCGAAGGCCTCCATCATACGGTCGATTTTCTGCGCCTCCCCGGGCAGTCGGAAGCTCCACAAGAACTGTCTGTGGGGAGGCGACGAGCTCACGGGGGGCAGGCGCGGCCCCCACCCGGCCCCTGCCCAGCCCCAGCAAGGCTGCTTCCTCCCAGGGTGGGAACAGGAGACCCAGGCCCTCCCATTCGCTGACTCAGGGCTTGTGTGCCGGCCACTCCCCCTTCTGTGGCAGACGGGAGCAGCACCACGGGAGGGGGTATCTGGCCAGCAGTCACACCGCCCCCCAGGACAGCTGCGTCCCCCATCAGAGGGCCTGGGCCTGCATCCTGGTTAGACTCCCGACAGGCCCCGGGAGGCAGCAGTGACGGCTCACGTAGCTGGGCTCCTGCCACCCGTGTGAGCCCCTGGCACCTGGCTCTGGCCTGGCTCAGAGACGCCCTGCAGGCGTCTGAGGGGCAAACCAGCAGAGGGGAGCGCTCGGTCTCTCCAATCAAATCCAAACCAAAAACCATACCGCCCGGACTCCCGGGGCTTCTCCGCCCCCACTACCGCCATCTCCTGCACCTACCACGGGCCCCACGGGGTCCCACGTGGCCCCGACAGCAAACACGCCATGTCCTCCTCCCGGGACCCGGGCCAGCCACACAGGCAGGATCCGCCGCCCAGGGACCAGGCCGGGAGCAGACGCTCCGGTCCTCAGATGCGCTCTTCTTGCTGGGGGCCCCGCACCCCACCTCCACCGTGGCCACTCCCAGCACCCAGCCCAGCCTTCTTGACTTTTCGGTTTACACAGCGCCTGCTCCTCTGGGGTAGGGCTGTGGCCTGTCCCACTCCCTGCGGTCGGCAGGCCTCACGCCAGCTGTGGGGCAGGGCCTGCCACTGCGGTGACCTCGGCCTGCAGACGAGAGCTGCGTATGGGCCTATGGGGGCCTGGGTTCTCCATGCTTCAGATACTGATCCTGCCTCCCAACGGTTAGGGGGACCCTGCTCCTGCCTACCCCACCTCTTCTCGGCAACTCTCGAAGATGCTGCCTCGGGGCCTCGCTCCACCTCCCCTCGCTCTGAACACCCTGGGCCCTCTCAGCCAGGACCTGTGCCAGCATTGTCAGGCTGGTCAGCAAAGCCGCCCCCTGCCCGCTGCCCCTGCGTGGTCTCCCTGCCCCACCACCCACAGCAGGCAGATGGCCCAGTCTGCCCCTCGCCCTGGCCCTCAGGCGATCTGTTTCCTGTAGAACAGCGGCCCTCAGAGAAGCCTCCGGCCCCGCCCCCAGCCCCCTCTGCCCACTGCCTCCGTGGCAATGGCTTTGCCCTCTCCCTGCCCCTCGGGGCCTGCTGGGGGCAGCTGTGGGGTAGCCCCTGCCCGTCCACACTGGTCTGCACCAGCCTCAACACCCACAGGATTTCCTGCACCCTCGGGAACCGGAGTGGCAGTGGCCGGCCACGGACGCACCTCCTGCGCTTGCCAGGCCCACGCCTGTCTCAGGACGGCTTCCAGTCTGATCTGAGAACCTGCACCGCGGCCGCTGAGCACGCCGCCCACTGCCAACACCTCCCTGAGCAGCCCAAGTCAGCTCGCGGGAAAACGGGCCATGTACCAGGAGCACAGCACAGAGCAGCTCTGAGCCTGAGGCCCAGACAAGACCTGGCCACGGCCCTCTCGTCCCGAGACAGTGGTGGCTCCCTCCAGACCCCTGTCCCTGCCACTCTGCCCGTGCTGGCCCTGGGTGCAAGACCCAGACCAGACAGAGAGCCCACGAGGCCCAGCCTGGACAGCAGAAGGAAACAAGACAAGCTCCGTCCAGCAACACAGGAGGTGTGCGGGGGCACTGCAGACCCCTCACAGGGCCGCACATCCCAATGCTGCAGGGACACCTGACTGTCCTTGGACAAAGACAGGGGCCTGGTGGTGGCCACTGATGGTGGCAGGGCCACACCCTCCCTGGCACTCGGGGGTACCCGTGTGCTTGGTGCTCGGGGCACACAGGGCCCAGCAGCCTCAACCCAAAAGGCAGCCAAGGAACCCACAGGATGCGTGTGTGTGTGTGTGTGTGTGTGTGTGTGTGTCATGTGGAGCAGGTGCGACGCCTGCCCTACACATGCGTCCCTGCTCTTCGGTCTCGCCAGCACAGGAGCTGGCTGTCACGGCCCCTCACCGAGAGCAGCGCACAGGTGCCGCCTGGGCCTTGGCCAGCTCGCCGGGAGCAGCTTACCTTAATGCTTGTACGAGGTTGAGGTCGGCAAACTCGTGCAGTTCGACAAAAGCCTGAAGAACCTTGATGTTAAACTCGTCCCTGGGGAGGGCAGGGAAGCAGTGCTGAGCGCCGGGCGCCTGTGCGCTGCCTGTGTGCACTGGGGGCGCGCTCGGGGAGGCCCAGCACTGCCGGCGGCCTGCTGCAGACGCGTCCGAGGCCGTGGGTCTCTGCCTGGTTTCGGAGCCAGGTCCTGCTGGCCTCACAGGAGGAGCTGTGGGTCTACCACCTCCCCCCCTCCCCAACCAAGAATTCCCCGCAAGAAGCGGAAGCAGGAACCAGCGACTGAGACGGCGCGGGGCGTTGGTGCACGTGGCCCTCTCCTGCCCCCGCCGCCCGCCCTCGCCTCCACCAGGTGGGAGTGGACTCCTCGCTGAGGCACAGGCCGAAGTCTGACCCCACCGCCTTCTGGTTCAAAGTCCATGGTGACCGTCAGGACCTACGCTCTGGGCGGTTGTGGGGGAAGAGGCAGAGGCCCCGTGGGCTCAGGCAGGCCTAGCAGAGGGGTGGCTGCCCGGGCCCCTCCCCGGCTCACCTTTCCCCCAGGTAGTCCCCGATGACCGTCTTATTCAGGCCTTCTCCTTTGTACAGGAACTGGGCCACGTCCTCCGGGGAACTCTGCAGCAGGTCATTCTCCACCAGAAACTGAATGCCCTGAGGACGTGAGAGAGGAAGGGCTGGGCAGGGTGGCTCCCACGCACCCCGGTCACGACCCTGCAGGCGTGGGCGCCCACGGCGCACCCCGGGTCACAACCCTGCAGGCGTGGACGCGCACACGGCGCACCCCCGGGTCACGACCCTGCAGGCGTGGACGCGCACACGGGGCACCCCCAGGTCACGACCCTGCAGGCGTGGGCGCCCACGGCGCACCCCCGGGTCACGACCCTGCAGGCGTGGACGCGCACACGGGGCACCCGGTCACGACCCTGCAGGCATGGACGTGCACACGGGGCACCCCCGGGTCACGACCCTGCAGGTGTGGACGCACACGGCGCACCCCCGGGTCACGACCCTGCAGGCGTGGACGCGCACACGGCGCACCCCCGGGTCACGACCCTGCAGGCGTGGACGCGCACACGGCGCACCCCCGGGTCACGACCCTGCAGGCGTGGGCGCCCACGGCGCACCCCCGGGTCACGACCCTGCAGGCATGGACGTGCACACGGGGCACCCCCGGGTCACGACCCTGCAGGTGTGGACGCACACGGCGCACCCCCGGGTCACGACCCTGCAGGCGTGGCCACGCGCACACGGCGCACCCCCGGGTCACGACCCTGCAGGCGTGGACGCGCACACGGCGCACCCCGGTCACGACCCTGCAGGCGTGGATGCGCACATGGGGCACCCCCGGGTCACGACCCTGCAGGTGTGGATGTGCACGGCGCACCCCCGGGTCACGACCCTGCAGGCGTGGCCACGCGCACACGGCGCACCCCCGGGTCACGACCCTGCGGGCGTGGACGCGCACACGGGGCACCCCCGGGTCACGACCCTGCGGGCGTGGACGTGCACACGGCGCACCCCCGGGTCACGACCCTGCAGGCGTGGACGTGCACACGGCGCACCCCCGGGTCACAACCCTGCAGGTGTGGATGCGCACATGGGGCACCCCCGGGTCACGACCCTGCAGGTGTGGACACACACGGCGCACCCCCGGGTTACGACCCTGCAGGCGTGGACGCGCACACGGCGCACCCCCGGGTCACGACCCTGCAGGCGTGGTCACGCGCACACAGCGCACCCCCGGGTCACGACCCTGCAGGCGTGGCCACGCGCACACGGCGCACCCCTGGGTCATGACCCTGCAGGCGTGGACGCGCACACGGCGCACCCCCGGGTCACGACCCTGCAGGCGTGGTCACGCGCACACAGCGCAACCCCGGGTCACGACCCTGCAGGCGTGGATGCGCACACAGCGCACCCCTGGGTCATGACCCTGCAGGTGTGGATGCGCACACGGCGGCACCGTTCAGCAGGCAGACAAGCGGGTCCCTGGGAGAGGCCCCCGAGGGGGCCACCTGGCAGCCCTATCACTCCTCAGGTGCAGGAAGCCCATCGGCCCCCGCGGGGAGAAGCCCTACTCATGCCAGAGGCTGTGGCTGGCCAATCCCCTCGCCCCTGCCACCACTGGGGGATAATCACCTCCCGCCTTGCCTGGTGTGACACGGCTCTGCCCAGAGATGGAAGCCTACAGTGGATACCTGGGGAAGGACCCGAGAGCTGGCACTGCTCTTCCTTCTCTGTGCCTTGGACACAGATGTGATGACTGGAGCCATGGTGGCCACTCCCCCACCCCCCGAGGATTTATTTTTTGAAAGGCAGAGTTAAAGGGGGTAGCGGGCACCGTGCATGAGATCTTCTATCTGGTTCACTCCCCAAACGGCTTCAACAGCCAGGGCTGGGCCAGGCTGAAGCTGGAGCTTCACCTGGGTCTCCCAGGTGGGTGGCAGGGGCCAAGCACTTGGGCCATCCTCTGCTGCTTTCCCATTAGCAGGGAGCTGGATTGGAACTGGAGCGGCCGGGACTTGAACCAACGTCCCCACACTCACGCAGGGAGACACCGCTCAGCTCCCACCCCAGCCGTGCACTGACCGGTGCTTCTGTTGGCTGCCCACTTCCCTTGCCTGCAGGGGAACCGTGGAGTGGCAGGGATGGCAGTAGGGGCCCTCCAGGGAGGGGAGAGGGACAGGGCAAGTGGGCCAGCAGCGGTCCCTCTCTGCTGTTCCAAGGACTCCTGAGACTGGCAGGAGCAGGGCGGAGGGCCCCAGACCACGACCTGAACAAGGGGGCCTGGTCCTCTGGACTGTGCCGGTCACTTTAGCTTGCTGGCCTGAGCCTGCAGCCACCATGTCCCCTCCTGCCCGAGGCTGGGATCCCGCCCTCCCACCCCAAAACAGCGCCACATCCCTCCGGCATACGCGGCTCTTCCAGGCACCTCCCGAGGGCCCGCGGCTCTCAGAGGCTCTGACATCCACCTGGTCCTGCCTGCTCAGCTCGCATCCACCCTCTGCTGCGCCTGCTTGGCCCTCAGTCTCTTAGGGTCACCGGGCTGGCCGCCTAACTCTGCGAAGACAAGGCCCCTGCACCATCAATTGGCACCCCCGGGACTGAGCCTTTCCTGAGTTCTGGATGCTCACAACTTGCCCTAAAAGTCGACAGTCCCAAAAACCAGGGCGTTTCTCGGGGCGCTAGGAGACGGCCTGCATGGGGCTAAGACGGGCCAAGTAAACCGGCGGTGAGTGCTCCCAGGGGAGAGGGCAGCCTCGGCGGCCCTGAAGTAGCTCCACCTCCCTGTGCAAGCAGCCGAGGCCCTGGCCGGGCCAGGGGAGCTCAGGGCACAGCTCCTGAGAGAAAACGGAGTCAAAAGATGGAGGCAAAGAGACCAGCTACAAGCCAGAACGGGATTGCATCTGGGAGGCAGGGCGCAGTCTGTGTGTCCAAGGACAGGCGGCCTTAAAGAGACAGGGCAGGCAGCCGTGTGATGGTGCAGAGGCCGGGAGGGGACACAGCCTGGCAGCTGCCAGGGATTCTTCCTGGGAGCCTCCAGATCAATCCTGCCGGAGCCGGCGCTGTGGCAGAGCTGGTAAAGCTGCCGCCTGCAGTGCCAGCACCCCTTGTGGGTGCCAGTTCGAGTCCTGGCTGCTCCTCTTGCGATCCAGCTCTCTGCTGTGGCCTGGGAAAGCAGTGGAGGATGGCCAAGTGCTTGGGCCCCTGCACCCACGTGGGAGATGGGGAAGGAGCTCCTGGCTCCTGACTGGCCCAGCACCAGCCGCTGTGGCCGTTTGTGGAGTGAGCCAGTGGATGGAAGATCTCTCTCTCTCTCTAACTCTGCCTTTCAAATAAATAAATCTTTAAAAAACAAATCGATCCTGCCAACACCCGACCTTGGACCTCCAGCCTGCCGACTGAGAGAATCCATTTCTGAGTTTTAAGCTGTGCAGTCTGTGTGCATCTGGGCTCTTGGCTCTAGCATGGCCCAGTCCCGGCTGTAGTGGGCATCTGGAAAGGGAACCAGCAGACGGAAGGTCGTTGTCTGTCTCAGTCTTGCTGCCTTTCAAATCAAATGTAAATAATAACAATAATGCAACTTTCATAAATACATTAGGTAAGGAAGAATGCATTAGGTAACGCATGTTGAGAGCAATTCTGCACACAGCCCGGGCAAAGCAGACAGAAGCCCAGCTTCCTGGACGTCCAGGCCAGACTCAGGGCTATCTGCAAACCACCCTGCTTGGGAGAGAGCCAGGGATGCAGGCACACAGTCCAGGCCCTCGCTGATCTGTGTGTCATCTTCCCCAGCTGGGAGGCAGGACCAAGTCTACACTCGCGCTTGTCATCTTCCCCAGCTGGGAGGCAGGACCAAGTCTACACTCGCGCTGGTCATCTTCCCCAGCTGGGAGGCAGGACCAAGTCTACACTCGCGCTTGGCTGCTGACCACAGCACGTTCCCAGCGGCAGCCCTCAGTAAGCCTGATGCACAGAACCCGGGGAGCAAGACAGGCAGGAACGAGGCCAGGAGGATGTCACGTGCACGAGGACACTCATCTCACGGAACCACAGTGTGACACCGTGTGGCCTCACCACTTAAACTGTCAGTGTTTGGGGGCCGGCACTATGGCTTAGTGGGCTAAGCCTCTGTCTGTGGTGCCGGCATCCCATATGGGTGCTGGTTCCGGGCCCAGCTGCTCCTCTTCTGATCGAGTTCTCTGCTTATGGCCTGGGAAAGCAGCGGAAGACGGTCCAAGTCCAAGGAATCTCCTGGCTGCTGGCTTTGGATCGGCCATTTGGGGAGTGAACCTGCAGGTGGAAGACCTTTCTCTCACTGTACTCTACCCTTCAAATAAATAAATGAAATCTTTTTTTTCCCCTTAAAAAGTCAGTGTTTGTTAATCTGTACATGCTTCATGTGGTTTGAATTTATCCTTGACCTTTCAGTCGGGCTGCCCCATGCTGCACTTGGGTCCCTTTAAAACCCAAGTCTAGGGGCACTTGGAGAGTGAACCAGCAGTTGGAAGATCTGTCAGTCCGCCTCTCCATCCTTCTCTCCCTTTCAAATAAAATAATTAAAAAAAAAAAAAAAGGTTCAGCGTTAAAAGCATCCACTTTTGTAAACATTCTGAGATGTTGCCTTACTTATTTATTTATTTGAAAGGTAGAGTTACAGAGAGGCAGAGGCAGAGAGAGGTCTTCCATTTGCTGATCACTCCCCAGATGGCCACATGGCCAGAGCTCGGCCGATCTGAAGCCAGGAGCTTCTTCCAAGTTTCCCATGCCGGGGCAGGGGCCCAAGGACTAGGGCCATCTTCTACTGCTTTCCTAGGCCACAGCAGAGAGCTGGATCGGAAGCGGAGCAGCCGGGACTTGAACTGGTGCCCATATGGGATGCGGGCACTGCAGGCGGCGGCTTTACCCGCTATGCCACAGCACCAGCCCCGAGATGCTGCCTTGTATTGTGATAATTCTACTGTGTAAACTCAGCTCCAAAGAAAAAAGCAATGGTCACCAACCTCAAATATGGAACCAGCATTGTATGAGTGAGCGTCTCTTTCCTGTAACAAATCCCGATACAAGCTAACGATGGAGAGAAAAGGTTTACTTTGGGCTTGCGGTTCTGGAGCTCCCAGGTCCGGATCCGGTGGCCCCGCGGGTCTGGTGTCTTGACAGGGCAGCAGAGGGTGGAAAGGGAGCAGCAGAGGACGCCAGGGAGAGGAGGCAGCAGACAGAAAGCAGCTGGGCCGGAGCTGTCTTCCAAGAGCCTTGCCAGTGACCTGGGACCTCCCTGAGGCTCACCCCCTCCCCTAACTCTGTAATTGGATCAAGTCTCCAAGAGCCCCCCCCGTAACACGTGGGGCTCTGGAGAACACCACGGCTGGGATCTAAATGACAGCCACGATCCAATGCACAGCGCTGTTCTCAGTCATGTTCCTTCCATTCTGGACTGGATGTACGCCACAGAGGAAGAGGACTGGGGTGTGACTGGAAAATGTCCACAGCGGCCGAGCACGCTGGTTAAACTAAAGCCCTCCTCCAGCTGCACCGGCACTGTGCCCCAAGGAAATCCAGTTTTGCAAACAGGAAATAATAAACATCTCTTCAAAAGTCAGCTGCAACTGCACGGGTACTGAGAAATGTATTTCTGCAGACCCAAGACCTTACACAGTGTAATTCCTACAATCAACAAACGTTTACTCAATGAGCAAATAATTAACTAATTAATTAATTAGCATAGAGGCTCAGCATCAGAAAAACAAGGACAAAGTTAGCAGTGAACACCAGAGCCAGCACTGTGGAAGAGCAGGTAAAGCTGCTGCCTGCGGCGCCGGCATCCCATATGGGCAGCGGTTCAAATTCTGGCTGCTTCACTTCCAATCCAGCTCTCTGCTATGGCCTGGGAAAGCAGTGGAAGATGGCCCAAGTCCTTGGGCCCCTGTACTCATGTGGAAGACCTGGAAGAAGCTCCTGGCTTCAGACTGGCCCAGCTCCAGCCGTTGAGGCCATTTGGGAAGTGAACCAATGGATGGAAGACGTCTCTCTCTCTGCCTCTGCCTCTCTAACTCTGCCTGTCAAATAAATAAATCTTTACCACAGGCAGCAGGGACTGAGCCGCGCCGTGCGGCGTCTCCCATGAAGACATGCCTTCCTCCCCTCAGCCACCAGCCTGTGGCAGACTCAGGCCCTCTCTCCTTTCTCAAAACCAAAATGAGGCTGGCGCCGCGGCTCACTAGGCTAATCCTCTGCCTTGCGGCGCTGGCACACCAGGTTCTAGTCCCAGTCGGGGAGCCGGATTCTTTCCCAGTTGCCCCCCTTCCAGGCCAGCTCTCTGCTGTGGCCAGGGAGTGCAGTGGAGGATGGCCCAAGTGCTTGGGCCCTGCACCCCATGGGAGACCAGGATAAGTACCTGGCTCCTGCCATTGGATCAGTGCGATGTGCCAGCCGCAGTGCACCAGCCGCGGCGGCCATTGGAGAGTGAACCAATGGCAAAAGGAAGACCTTTCTCTCTGTCTCTCTCTCTCACTGTCCACTCTGCCTGTCGCAGTAATTATTGTAATCTATGAGCATCAAGATTGGGCGTGGGTGCTGTGGCACAGGGGGTAAAGCTGCCACCTGCCATGCTGGCATCCCACATGGGCGCTGGTTCGAATCCTGGCTGCCCCACTTCCGATCCAGCTCCCGGTTGATGTGTCTGGGAAGGCAGTGAAAGTCAGCCCAGTGCTTGGGCCCTGCCACTCACGCGGGAGACCCCAGATGGAGTTCCGGGTTCCTGGCTTCAGCCCAGCCCAGCCCAGCTTGTTGCAGCCTCTTGGGGAGTGAACCAGAGGATGGAAGATCTCTCCCTCGCCCCCACCTCTAACTCTGTCTTCCACATCAGTCAATCAATCTTAAAAACGGGGAAAAAACAAACCACCCACATTACAACTGAGTCGTGGCCTCCCTCTGTGGACTTTGCCAAGTCCTCCCGTGCAGCCCCACACGCAGGCTCACTGTGTTCGGCGTCTTCCCGCAAACTCCAATGTGAGCCACGATCCGAGAGCGCTCAGTGTGGAGAGCCCTGCTCTTCCCACAGAAGCCCTTCCAGGGAGCAGGGGCAGCGAGGTCCTCCTCCTCCAGCTGTGCACCACTCCCCAGACGACAAGGCCCGTACACACGGCACACACGGGTCCCGCTCCCAGCTCTGCTCCCGGGCTGCAGGGCTCAGGGCGGGAGACCAAGGGGCAGCACCCCACGCAGCAAGGGCTCTGCAGGCTCCCCTGAAGCCTCTGCGAGCGGCACTGTCCTCACTCAGCTCCGCGGGGAGGGAGGCCTCCCTGGGGGCGGGCTGATGGGATGCAGGGGTGGGGGAGGCCTCCCTGGGGGCGGCTCATGGGATGGGGGGGCCTCCCTGGAGGCAGCTCATGGGATGGGGGAGGCCTCCCTGGGGGCTGCTCATGGGATGGGGGGGTGGGAGGCCTCCCTGGGGGCAGGCTGATGGGATGCAGGGGAGGGGGAGGCCTCCCGGGGGCGGGTTGATGGGATGCAGGGGAGGGGGAGGCCTCCCTGGGGGCTGCTCATGGGATGGGGGGTGGGGAGGCCTCCCGGGGGCGGGCTGATGGGATGCAGGGGTGGGGGAGGCCTCCCTGGGGGCCAGCTCACAGGACGCTGGAGCTCCGAGCTCCACCGCAGTCCTGAGCAGCCCCTTCTGATAAAGAGTTGACAGCTCCCGTCTGCGCACCTCTGTCCAAACCACCGTAGATCACCCGACCTGTGTGTGCCAGGGAACGAGGTTCCTCTCACCTTTTTGGGATCCATGTTGAACTTCTTTCTCCCCATAGCGATTTGCTTGTTCCTTTGAGTGGTTTTGCTGTGCGTTTGACATAATTAGAGACGGTCAGCACGGTCAGCAGTGTTTCCAGAGAACACGGACTTCGGTGGCGGCGCCCAGGGCGGCGTCATGGCCCTCGGCACGCCCACGCCGCCCCCTCCCTCCGGCGCAAGCCACCACCTGGAAGCAGACAACTGGGACCCACTTTCCCGGGAGAAGCTAACAGAGCAAGCCGTGGGTTTAAAAGCACGGCCCCTTTAGGCTGGTGGAAAGCTGCTCTGGGCAGGTCACCTCCCAGCGCCCGTGCTTCCTGCTGGGCTGGGAAGCGGCACCCGCTGCGCCTGGAGGTCGGGGAATGGGATGAGCGGGCGCAGGCGGCCCTGGGGTTTACCTCTCCTCCACAGACGTCAGGCTGTCGATCTCGGTCATCACCTCGGCGATTTCGTACTTCAGCCTCTGCAGGAAGAAGGGGGACGGCGGGGGTCAGGTGGGTCTGGTCCTAACCCTCCCTCCTCCTGGGCTCGGCTGTGGCCCTTCCAGGCTCAGCCTCCCCGTCTCCGGAGCATCCCAGGTCGGAAAGCCGGTGCCTTCAGCAGCAGAGCCTGAGTCCCACAGTTGGAGCCGCTGGCACTCAGGAGCAAACAGAACTACCCGTCGGCCTTTCCGTCAGGCTCCAGATCCGAGGGGCCCACGGGGCAGACTCACGAAGGCCCCGGGCAGTGTCCGGGGCAGCGTTAAGATGCCTACAGCCCACGTGGGAGTGCCTGGGTTCAGATTCCGCTTCCTGCTGACGTGCGCCCTGGGAGACAGCCGGAGATGGCTCGAGTCCTTGGGTCCCTGCCACACATGTAAGAGACCTGCATGGAGCGCCTGGCTTCGGCCTGGCCAGCCCTGACTGCTCTGGGCATTTTGGGAATGAACCAGCAGAGGTTCATGTCTCTCTGTCACTCTGCCTTTCAAATACATTTAAACAATAGAGAAGGGGCATTGGCGAGAACATCACAGGTGTGGGAAGACAAGAGCAGCACCAGGGAAGCCATAAGAACTGTTCAACATGGCCCCCACATGGCCCCTCCTCTGCCTCCTCCCTCAGGGTCCCTTCCCCTCCTGGAGAGAGGGAGGGAGAAGCCAAGCTCCATCCCGGGCGGGGCGGGGCGGGGCGGAGACTGGCCCAGCTCTCAGTCCAGGGTGACTGCTGTCCCTTCGTAAGGGACAGGCACCACCAACAGGGCCCAGGGGTGAGAACAGAGCTGACGGAGCCGGGACACTTGGGGGGACTGAAACACCAGAGGGGTACGATACCCTCTTCTCCCGAGCTGTGGCCCCACAGGCTGAGCGACTTTCCACAGCCCCGGACCTCTCAGAGCTGGATCCAGATTCCAGGTTAATCCACGCGTGCTCACGAACATCCAAATAACATGGGCTTCTGCAGCCAAAGGACCAGGACCTGGGCGTCAGCCCCCCGACTTCCCTAAGGAGGGACTGTCGTGAATTACCTGCCCAATGCAAAGACAGGGGACCCGGAGCCCCTGACTGTGCCAAGAGACCGCACACCGACAAGGGAGTCACTGTCTGGGGCCGGGCCTGGCCTGTGGGCCACGAGTATCTTGGCAGTGCCTACGACCTGGGAACCTCTCAGAGAAGAGCCACACGTCAGATGGCGTTTCCTACAGAGTGCAGAGGGAAGGGGCCAGGGCTCGCTTCGGCCACTGGTGCCTCCCGCGTGGCCCCTCCGCCCTGCCCTCTGAGTGATGTGGAGGCGACGAGACTCATGTCCCTTGTTTCCTGTGTATCATTCTACCCCCCCACCCCCCGGCTGGCATTAGTGCAAGGCTGGAACCCAGTAGACGCTCACCCACTCATTCAAAGGATGTCTGAGCACCAAAACCCTAGCAGGCAATGGCCTAGGTGCTGGGGACATTGGTAAACCAAATGAGGTCTTACCACGCCATGCCAGGGAGCAACCTGTCGACGGACGCGGGTGCTGCTTCAATGGCCGCCTGCGACCCTGGAGCCACTCGCATGGACCCCAGGCCTGCCGTCTGCCTGCTGCCCGAGCCTGCACCCTGAGCTATGAGGACCCTTGTTTTCCCAGCCCCGTCTGCTCCTGGGGTTCTTACACACAACACTAGATATCCATTTTCCACAGTGTTGGTAGCTACTGGATTTATTATTTACCCAAACACAGAAACGAAGATTTTTTTTTTTACCTCAATGTCATCAATAAGTTCCTTTTTTCTTCGACGAATGTCCAAAAGCTCTTCCCTTTCTTCTAATGAAAGGTCTTCAGGAACTGGAAAAAAAAAAAAAATAAGCCAACCATGAAGCCACTGCTGTGGAGACCAACTCTGCAAACCTAGGGAGGCTGAAGGTGGGGGCACAGCAGTCCGGGGAGCCACTGGACCTCTTCCTTCCTCTCGAGAGTAAGACGGGGGAACCGGCGACACCAGACACACACGAGGGCAAGGCCCCCGACCTGACACAGACACCCAGCGCGAGGGCCTTCCCTGCAGCACTGGGCCAGCTTCAGACCTAACGACTCTGGCGTGGGGCGCCATCACCCCATCAAGTCCGGCCCAAGCAGCCGCCTGCTGCACTCGGGGGATCCAGCGTGCTTCTCGGTCCTCCTCCCCCAGCCTTGAGATAAGCCTCGGACATGCAAATCGCACGGAGGGCCAGTGGCCACACCTGGGGGAGCAAAATCGGTGGGATGGCAGCAGGCTGTTGCAGACCCCCCACACCTCACAGAACCGGGTGACTGTGCATAGGCAACTGGAAACAGAAGAACACGCCTTTCGATCTCACCAGACTGGGGGAAAAAAAGTCTGCCGGGAGTATCAACTGCCATGGTCACCCAGCACAACTCGGTACTGCGTGCTAACAACCGAGGCGTGCAGACGTGCAGGCTACGGCTGGGCTGTGCTAGGTGTGTAAGATCCTGGAGAAATTCTAGAGCACTTCAAAAGTAGGCGAGTACATTCACGTCAGGAAGTACACGTAGCAGATAAACAGAAACAACGCACACACCCACCCAGAGTAGAACGTGTTACATGATGTGTATTTAGGCAAGGAATTCCCAAGCAGAAGAGGGTAAGTGCAACTATCGGCAACACATGAAGGACTTTAGGGAAACAATGTAGAAATGAATACTTTATAAAACATGCAACTAATCATGGGAAAAACTAGACTATCCATTGTTTAGGAACACAAGTACAAATGTAGCAAAGTAAAGAAAACAGCTGGAATGACCAACACAGAGCTGCAAGGAACAGCCACCTCCAAGGAGGGAAGGAAGGGCGGACGGGACGCTCCGGATGGGACATCGGGCAGCGTCCAGCCTAGGAGTTACGATGCTGGTCAGGATGCCCGCGACTCACTTCAGGCTATTTGGGTTTGATTCCCGGCTCTGGTTCCTAACCCCAGCTTCCAGCTAACGCAGACCCTGCAAGGCAGCGGTAGCAGCCCAAGTAACTGAGTTCCTGCCACTCACATGGGAGACCTGCACTGGATTCCTGGCTCCCAGCCAGGCACGGCCATTGCAAGCATTTGAGGGGTGAACGAGGGGACAGGAGTTCTGTCTCTCAAATGAAAAAACATACTTTCAAAGTAATGTCAATGTTCTTTTGCTAGTAAGTATTTTTGGCATTGTAGCGCAGTGGGCTAAGCTGCCATCTGCAATGCCGGCATCCCATATTAGCACTGGTTTGAGTGCCAGCTGCTCCACTTCCAATCCAGCTACCTGCCAATGGGCCTGGGAAAGCAGCAGAAGATGGCCCACGTGCTTGGGCCCCTGCCACCCATGTGGGAGACCCTGATGGGGTTCCAGGATCTGGCTTCCACTGGCCCGGCCTTGGCTGTTGCAGCCATTTGGGGAATGAACCAGCAGATCAAAGATCTCGATGTCTCCGTGTGTGTGCGCGCGCGCGTGTGTGTGTCTGCCTTTCAAATAGATAAATCTTTATTAAGTTTTTTTTTTTTTTTTTGAAAGGCAGAGTTAGAGAGAGGAAGAGACACAGAGGTATCTCCATCTGCTGCTGCAAAAGCCAGGGCTGGGCCAGGCTGAAGCCAGGATCCAGGAGCTTCATCCAGGTCTCCCACGTGGGTGCAGGGGCCCAAAGACCTGGGCCATCTTCTGCTGCTTCCCCAGGCACATTATCAGGGAGCTGGCTCAGCAGTGGGGGCATCTGGGACTCAAACCAGCACCCGTATGGGAAGCTGGCATCGCAGATGGCAGCTTTACCCACCATGCCACACCACAAAACTGGTCCCTAAATAAATCTTAAAAACATTTTTCCTACGAATCAGTTGTGATCACTCTAGGAATTTATGAGCCTGAGAAATCAGAGCCAAGAAGGTGCTATTTCCGCTCAGAAAACCCACTGCTCTTCAGTAACTGAAACCGACAGTCAAATTGAAAGAAACCAAAATGTTGGTCATGTCCCCTCCCTTCAGTGAGGTAAGGAGGTTTCATGTTTTCAGGGGCCGCCTGACACAGAAGAGGTGTTTATCAGGGAAAGTACCTTCCTGAAGGCAACGACCACCTGTAATAACAGAAGGACAGGCCCATTCCTGTTCTCATGGACTCTGCAGGGAGCCCGGCACGGGTCTACTCAGCGAAGATTTTCCATCAAGACGCAAATTAAGAACACACTTGCAACGCACATGGAACGCTAACAAGCACGGAAACTAAACGAGATTTTGCAAAGATTACTGTATTTTCTACAGCTCATTCTGCATGAACTTTTTTTTTGCCCCAAATAGGAAAAAAAAAGTGCTTCACAAAGACCCAGAAGACACACACTATTAATCCAGAATTTCTACTTTTCTGTTTCCTGTGTAAGATATGTTTCCATAAGTTCAGCTTGAACAATCTATCACCAAGTGACCAAGACTGAGGAAATGAACTACCTACCATTTACAGAACCAAACTGGGCTACACGCGTTAACAGGTTCTCCCAAGCCCACTAACGAACTTTGAGAGGAGTCATCGCTATTCCCATTTATAGTGGAGGAAAGATCACGTGAGACGCACTGCTTTTCTCTGGAGAGAGAACGAATATTTGAGGAAACGATGGCCACAATTCCTCAGATTTGATCAGGGCAGGAACATACATGTCCAAGACGCTCGGCAGAGCCCAGGAGGGGGACCCTGGCGGTTCAGGAAGTCACGGCACTCAGCAGTGCCGCCAGGGACCCAGCCTTCCCGTTCTGGCTTGCAAGGCACCGGCTAGATCCTAGACAGTTTCCACCCTACCGGTGGCTCCTGGCAGCAGCCGAGGCTACACGTGTCCCTGCTCCTGCAGCTCCCTCAGCCTCCCGCGTCAGAAGGCCCTGTGCGGCTTCCCCCGAGTTCTCCCTGCCCGGGCCCAGGCCTGGGGTCATTATACCAGCCAGCAGGGCAGGAACGCACGTCTCCCACAAAGAGCCTAGAGTCGGGAGATGGTGTGAGAGCGGGGAGGGAATGGTGCCTCCAAAATCAAGCGTGTAAATCGTTTTAAGACAGAGAAAACAGAAATGTAAGTGTCCACACAGGTCAGACAAAATACAGCAGCGTGCAAACAGCTTTTGAACCCCAAAAATACAGAAAATGAAAACCAGAGTCTGAACAGAGTTTTTTTAATTTATTTATTTGAAAGGCGGAGTGATAGAACAAGGGGGAGAGAGCTCTTCCATCCACTGGTTCATTCCCCAAATGGTTACGATAGCCAGGGCTGGTCCAGGCCAATGCCAGGAGCCTGGAACTCCACCTGGGACCACCTTCGAAGTGGCAGGGGCCCGAGAACTTGGGAATTCTTTGGCTGCTTTCCCAGGCACATTAGCAGGAAGCTGGATGGGGCCTGGAACCACCACTCCAATATGGGACGCCAGCATTGTACGTGGTAGCCTGGCTCACTGCACCACAGCACTGGCCCCTGGGTAGAGTTGCAATTCAACCCTGAGTAGACAGACAATTCTTCATTTGAGACAGTTGACCTACAGTTTTTCTCCTACCTTGGTGGTGCCCAGGGCTGGCTGAGAGCAGAGTGAAGACTGGGAAAATCAATCTAAACACCAATGACTTAACAATAAGGGTCCTAAGTTCCTTCTCATCAGAATCTCTCACAGACTTCCACGATTCTCCTTTCAGTAACACCTATCATTTCCTACCCTTTAAGGCCCTAAGCAATTAGAGTGCTGACCATTTAAGCTTCCAGTAAGTCTAACGAGAATTTGCTTGTCTACAAGAGTGAGACATTCTCTAAGGTGGGAACACGGTACTGCAGTCATGCAGGAAGACTCTCACTGTAGTGCTTAGGGGTGTAATCTTATTACACCTATACTCAACTCTGAAATACTTCCACAGGAGAAGAACTGAGCACAGTGACAGCAACTGTTAGGTCTATTCGATGGACACACGGGCATTCCCTATTTACGCTATTTTCTGAGAGTCCGATATCTGATTTTTTTTTTTTTTTTTTTTTTTTTTTTTTTTTGACAGGCAGAGTGGATAGCGAGAGAGATGGAGAGAAAGGTCTTCCTTTTTCCGTTGGTTCACCTCACAATGGCCGCTGCAGCTGGTGTGCTGTGGCCGGCGCACCGCGCCGATCCAAAGCCAGGAGCTAGGTACTTCCTCCTGGTCTCCCAGGCGGGTGCAGGGCCCAAGGACTTGGGCCATCCTCCACTGCCCTCCCAGGCCACAGAAGAAAGCTGGACTGGAAGAGAAGCAACCGGGACAGAATCCGGCACCCCAATTGGGACTAGAACCTGGTGTGCCGGCGCCGCAGGCGGAGGATTAGCCTAGTGAGCCACGGCGCCAGCCGAGTCTGATATTCTTACAGTTGAAAAAAAACACTTGGTGTCTTCAACGGCTAGCATCATCTCTTGTAGCATTCTCTTTTAGGGTATCTGATGAAGGCATGGATAGAGTATATGGGAACACTCATGGACACACTTTACAGATTAAACCAGCAAAAGCAAGGGAGGCATGTGATCAAGCACTTCTGGACCAATCTCTGCACTCCTCTGCCACCTCAGTGTCCGCTGTGCTACTCCTGTGGACACCGGAATGCACAGGGAGACCGACAGCTGGCTGTCCGAGCAGCAGCTGCTGTAGTTCTACCAGCATCTGTTCGTGTCGTCACACCGTCGGTGGTCACACAGGCCGTCTCGGTTACACATGTGAGGGCCAAGTGAAAGATGAGACGACACACGTGCTCAGAGAAGGGATCCTTCCTTACCCAGGCTTCTTTCTCAGCAACACCCCAGTCGCTGCCTAACAGTGGCAGAGCAAGGTGCCGATCTACTTACTGGCCC